TTTTTTTTTTTTTTCTCTTTAGTTAATTTATTTATTTTACTTCTTAAATTCATCTTTCAATTTCAATAAAGGTGTTAGCACCAATCTATTATATCACAATGTTCCACTCCACACCACGCAATTGTAAATATATAAATACCTATTATATAGTAATAGTAGTAGTAGCAGTAGTAGTAGCAATAGTAGTAGTAATAGTAATAGTAGTAATAGCGGTAGCAATAATAATCAATAGTAGTAATAGTAGTAGTAGTAGTAGTCAATAGTAGTAATAGTACATAGTAGAGATTTCCGTGTTTAATTAATAAAGATTTCGATATAACAGCCAGATGATCCGTGACCAATTCTATCGAACTGTAAGATTGGATCGATTCGATATTTTGTGAATTCAATGTGTGTGTGTGCGTGTGTGTTTGTGTGTGTGTTTGTGTTTGTATGTGCCGAGTATTTTCTCTCTTTTTTTCACGGCCCCCCGACCCATCCTTCTCTTTTTCGACTAGTATGTACGTCGAATTACACGTATGCTTCCCACGCGTTCCACAGAAATAAGTCTCGCATGGATATGTTTCTTGTTTCCTGTTTTGCTATATTTACCGGTCTTTCTTTCTTTTTGTTTTTTTTTTTTTTTTTTTTGTCGAGTGTCACTCGATCGGCCGTATCGCGTTGCCCCCAACGTGCTAATTTTTTTCCCCACGAATAACGTTAACTGTTTCGAGCAGTTTCGAGGGCACAGCGGCGAGAATTGGAGAGGTTCTGTTATAACGAGGGAACATTTTCACCCTCTGTTATAACAGGAAATTTTCGCCTGTTAAAGAGGCAAGATGAATGAACTCGTCGCGGATGTAACTGGAAATTTTCTACTTTTTCCATCGTTTTCGTCGAAACTGAATCAAACACTAAATCTCGAAGGCACTAACGCAAATCTGATGGAAATTAACTTGTCTAATTATTAATTTGTTTTATTTTGACGGTTATAGAGAGGTTTCTAGAGGTTCAAAGAACGAAGCTGACTGAATACTTTATATACGGCTGTATTCTACTCGATTATCATAATTTTCTTTTTAAAAAGTTTCTTCCAACGTGTTTTGTGTAACCTGTCATTTTACGATTCGAAAAACGATTGAAACAATTACGAGAATTTTTAACACGTCCGTTCGTCACCAGCGCATTCCTCCAACAATTTTCCTTGAAAGACGCGATTATTCTGATAAATGGTAAAAAAAAAAAAACGCGTCCAAACGTTTTGACTCGTATAAAATTCAGTTACAAATTATTACCCTCAATAACGGACGCTATGCATTAAAACAACAATCCAATTCGTCCAAGCCAAAAGCCAATTGTCAAGAATACTATAACAAAAAGAAACCTTCTCAATAAAAAATCTGCACAGTATCTTTAAGATTAAAATTGTTTCCACTATGAAACCGTTCGAATGACATTTCGCCGGTCAGAAGAATCCGCAAGAAAGAGGGGAAAACGAAGCACCGAAAGAAACAATCGGACAAAGAGATCCGCGATTTCACAGGACTGACAAAATGATACAGCGATCCCGTTCCGTTTTTCTTTTCCTTCTTCTTCTTTCTTTCGTTTTCTTTTTTTTTTCCTGCTTTCATTTTTTGGCGATTGAAACGTCCTTTTCTTTTTTTTTTTTTTCTTTCTTTCTCCCCTCACCCTCCGTTCCCACCAGAGGGACACAATCGGGGAAAAAATGGTCGCGCGAACGACGGGATCGGCCGGCGCGTTTTGTCGCCGCGACGCGACGACTTGGAAAAGTGAACGGAAACGTGATTTTCATTCGTTTTGTGCCTCGCTCGCCATTCTCCTCCGCCACCACGGTTTTTCAAAACACCACGGGAAACTTGACGCCGCGTTTCGGCCAGTGACAGCTGCCTCGGCCCGCATTTTTTTCCCCTATTCTCGCGATATTGCACGATTTTTTTCTTATTTCCTCTTTCTCTCTCTTCTTTTTTTTTTCTTTTTTTTTTACTTGGTTTTTTCCCCCTTTTGTTTCATTTTTTTCTTTTTCATTTTTTTTTTTTTTCTCTTTAGTTAATTTATTTATTTTACTTCTTAAATTCATCTTTCAATTTCAATAAAGGTGTTAGCACNTTTTTTTACCCGTGTACAGATAATTTCTCTATTACGCGCGGCACGACTGCACGTGTACGTGTGAGCGTGCAAAGAGTTTTTGGCCGAATCCGCGACCAATCGGATACCGAATACGAACGAATGACCGCCAAAAAATCGCGACGAGAAAGAAACTACCGGGGCAGGGGAAAAGGAAGCTCGACTTTTGCGACCAGAGTCCTCCTTCCGTCCTCCGTTTCGAAGAAACCTTTTTCACTAACAATAAAGAACGTTCCAAAGTTCTGTATCAACGCGTCACATTTTTTCGAAGAGGGAATTTCGGTGGATGCGACTGGAGATATTTTACTAAACGAGAAGAACCAAAGTTTTGTGATACTGGAATTGCCGATTTTTTAATGTACAATTGAACTCGAAAAGAACGAACAAATGTTTCAATAATTTTAGTAGAATCAATGTTGCATAATATTGCAATATTGTAACTGTACAACGTGAGAATATCAATAATAGTTAATTTTGAATTATTTAATCAATCTTGTTTGAATGAAACTAAACGTTAAGATGGCCAAGTAGAAGCAAAAGATCTGACAACAGTCATGTCGACTCATTTGGTACAGTGACACTAGAATTGACGTTGTTTTGATGTTCAATTCGCTCAAAGAGAACGAACAAATGTTTCAATAATTTCGATAGAATCAACATTGCCAATTCTGCATAATGTTGCAACACTGTAACAGGATTGTCAATATTGAGAATAACAATAATAGTTAATTTTGAGTTATTTAACCTCTTTTCACTAGTTCGAACTTGTTTGAATGAAACTAAACGTTAAGATGGTCAAGCAGAGGCAAAAAATCTGATACAACAGTCATTCCAACTGGTTCGATAGTTACAGGTAGTTAAACGATGTTTATTCAGGCTGAAAATCCATTAGAGAATTAAAGTTGAAACTCACGGCCAATGAAAAGAAAAACGTTGCTGCATTGATGTATTGGCAAACACTGTTAAACCGTGACTGGCTATGTTTCTCAGTGGAAGTTTATAGACTCTGTATGATAATTGCAGCGAACCAACCGAACAGCGATCGACAGCTAATTGATGACAACGAATTTGTTTACCGCGAAGAGAAGACAGAATAGATTACGCTTCGCGCAACGTCGCAGTTTAAAACTAAGTCTTGCTATTTATTGATCGTCGAGGTATTTTTGAAAAGAAAAACGATCTTAACCGAAGTCCTCGAATTTTCATCAATCTCCTTGTCAATAACAAATTAGAATCGACGATGGTTTTCACTGATAAAGAAAAAAAGTGATCTGAAACGAAGTTATATATAAAAGATTAATAGAAAATACGACGAGAAATCTGTTTGTAGATAAATAAGATAGCTCATTGTCCTCGTTAATAGGCAGCATCATTCCTTATGAACAAGTGAACAAAAATTCATTGTCAAAGGAACGTTTGATTGTAAATGACAGAAGACGTTTGACATCGAAAGATTCAAAAAGACAATTTTCCAATTGATCTGATATCGATGACCCTCGTGATCGTATATAATACATCGCGCCGTAATGTACAGATCTTCGCGTCCCGGCTTCATTCACTATCCCTTCCTTGTTTCTCGTCCCGTGAGCTTGAAATACGCGTCGTGCTTCGAGTGATTCGCATAGCGATCGAATACTGAAGGCGTAACGAGCAACCTTATATTCGCCGATCTCCGCGAATGCCTCTGGAAATATTTCTCTAAACCTACGCACGTGCGCCAGAATGCTCTACGTAGAATTTCTTCGAATTCCTCACCTTATAATCTATAATTTTATTAGTTTAATGGCTCTCGTAATTTTCGAGCAAATTGTCTCCATTCTGCTATCATCTGTCTTTTCGATTATCTGATAAAAGTTTTCGTTGAGTGAAAATTACGCGAAACGGGTGATATTCGTTACATCACGTTTCACCTAAATTTAGAAAATGATCTATGGTAGATTCGTGTAACGGGGGCAAGATACCATAGAATACCGAGTTAAATGGACCTGCAGTTTTAATATCTACGGCAGCTATAAAATTAGTAGCCATTAATATCTTCAACAAGAATTGAAAACTTGTAACTCCTCGAGCAAGTGGATTGTGCCGACTATGGTCAGACGTGAAGCACTCTCTAATAACAAAGTAGTCTTATATTTTCAGAGAACATCTTTCAGTTTCTAAATGAAAATTACGCCTGAGGAAACTTGAATTTTTTTTTTTTTTTCTCACTGATTTCATTGAACCTCCGACCATTCAAACATTCGATGTATTTTCTTATTTAATTCCTGCATGTATGTATCTCGATTTCTTTATCACGACGTCTCGACGCAGCAATAAACAAAATCTCGACACGTTTCGTCGATACGTTTCATACGCATATACGACTATCTACCACGATCATACCGCGTGTTGAAGTTTATCGTAAGTGTCGGAACAATTTTCTCACGGTCGGGTTCAATAAGGAGGGAAATAAAGTCTGAAGTGAGATAAATGTACGCGAAGAACGGAATGAATGGCAAACGGGAGAATATCCTTCGCGATATTCGAGCAAACGAAATAAAAGAAGTATCGCGAAGCATCTCGGAATATAAAAAAACCGAAACTTTCACACATCAAGCCGAAACCACGTTTGATCATATATACATTATATTCTTCTTCATTACTGACGAGGTTATTCTACTTAGACAATTACCAACTCACCTCAACATCTAAGAGTAATCTCGACAGTCTGTTCAATTGTTATTACTTTGTTAGTTATTTTACAGGAAAAGTAAATTTTTCATTCCATTTCTAAAAATTGTCGATTGTTCAAATCTCGAATCTAAATATAATCGCGAATTTTTATGCACTTGTGAGAAATTAAAAGAACACACGATAAAATTATGAATTCTTAATTGGAATCACGGAATGTTACAATTTAGCACTGTAATTTCTGGAACTTTCATCGTGAATATTTTAGTATCTCAACGTACATTAGTCATCTACGATCGAAAGATACTCGTTCGAGGTATGAATGAATAACAGTGGCTCGTTGCAGTATCCATTTGTGCGAGACAGATCTCTATCTGGCTCCTAGTTTTTCAACTACTACCTTTGTGAGATACTATGAATTTACATCAACATCCACAGTCTACGGTACATTTGCCGTTGTTCTACGGCACCGAGGAAAATATGTAAAACTCGGTCCGGCCAAATATTCGACCCGCTTCCAATAAAACGGGGGATGCCCGTTTCGAAAGAAATTCAAAGGAGAAAGCTCGGTTTACGCTCACATTGGGATTTAAATAATTCGGCAATAAAAGGAAATTTTCAACCGACGCGAAAATTCTACGCAAACACACAGTTGCTTCCTCTCCCTCTCTCTCTCTCTCTCTTTCTCTCTCTTAAAGAAAAAAAAGACAACGAAAAAGAAACGAAAAAAGCAATAAATTCTGTGCGTGTGTGAAACTGTCCGATGCTCGTTTGTTCGTTCCATTTAACAGTGTTCCCGTGTCGTTGAACGTTCAACGTCGGCTTTTACGTTTCTCCAAGTCGAGCGTGCACGCCTTCCACCCCCTTTCCGACGCCCTCCAACCCCATGGCGCCGGGAGGAGAGCCCGCGAAGAAGAAATAGGGCCGCGAAGTGCGTAACAACAGGGCTGCCACGGTACGTCAGGCACACACAGATACACAGATATACACACACACACACACACACGCACATACACACGCACGTACACACCGTGCAGGGAAACGCTCGTGCAAACGAAAAAGACCCGACGACTCTGCTCGACGATGCTCGTCTAGATGGTTGCTAACGATCCCCCGCCGCGTTTCCCCGTGGCTGACTCGAGGGTTAAAAGTACCGTTTAACTCGCGTGTTCTAGCCGCCAAGTGCATCGATCTTTTCTGCCGAAAAAAAATTTGTACATACACACATACATAGATAGACTCCGCGCTAAATCTCTCTTTCTCTGCTCCGCAGCGAGAGGAAGCATTGTGCGCGCATACGTGATTAGCGAAATGATATAATTCTGTAATTCTCCGCTATAATTTTCTATTTTCTATTTTCCTTTCTTTTTTTTTTTTTTTTGGACGTTGATAGAATTGTTCGAAACGTGCAGGAAATTAGATGGTCGGTCGTCTGTCGTATTTGCGAATGAGACAGGCTTGCGAGTATTGATTGTCGGTGTACAGGGTGATTTTGAAATCAGGGTTGCGACTGTGGGATGAAACGATTATCAGAGAGGATGCAATTTTTTGAGCGGAGATACGCAAGCTTCCCCGTCCCGAATTGAAAGATCGTGCACACTCCGAAAATATCGTGTTTGAAAGTTATTAACAACAAACGCGAAATGTAGAGTTTAATTATTTGACGTGTTTCGTTTAATTTCAACGTAGAATGTGATGCGTGCGGTTGCGTGAAAATGTACCCAACAGCGGCTCTTCTGACAAATACTTTGACATTCGTAGCGTGATACAATCTTGACGCAAGCAACAACATCCTACTTTTATAAAAACGAATTCTCTTCGCGGTGAAAAAGATTTCTACTGACAAAGGAACGTGCGCGTTTTGCCGAGTTTTTCGTCTTACATTTTTTACGATAAATCTCTGTAATTCCAAGGGATAATACGCAGGGAAAATTGTAAGATATCGAGCCAGCTTAAATCACTCAAATATTACCAAATTTCGTCTCAGGTAAACTCACGAAGATTTTTGCACGATTTTTACAGAATAAATCTGTGTAATTCTAGACGATACTGAAACGGTGAGAATTACCTCGATACGTAACGTAATTCTTTGCAACGCAATTTTGTAATTTTATCCCGAATAATTTTCAATGTTTAATTCTTGTCTCGCCGCCGTTCCGTATTGCGAATCACTCTGTAGAGGTTGATAGTGAAACGCGTATGTATGTGCGCGTACTGAAAACTCGGCGATCGTTACGTCCTCCGACAACTCGTGATTAACGATCGAGCGTTTTTGACGACTTGCGCGCGCGGACAATTCCGGAAATTGGCTTGAAGTGCTTGAAAACCGACAAACAGCGATATTAGCGAGAGTCAAAAAGGGGATGTTGTCGATGACGACGACGACGACGCTGAGAGCGAGTGACGATCGATACACTTGGTCATGGAACTAATTACATATCGCGTCGCTGCAGTTGTTGAAAATAAAAAGCTCGTTCGGCCGCGACGACACGCATCCGTCACCCTGTGAAACTGTTTGTCGGATAAATCCGCCACGCGAACGACTAATTCTACTGAATTCTGTTCTCACTTTCTCTCGAAACGAGCCTCGTGAAGCGTTACTCAATTTTCGAGATCTTTGACTGGAGATTGCCAGAAATTTGCTTCTCGTTTCTTTCCTTACTTTCGTGCCTTACTTTTCGGGGATTTTAATTTGAAGAAGAAACATTGTTGCACATTGAATTTTCGATTAGATTAACGTAGGGAATGAAATTTGAAGCAAGTTATTCTGGTTGATTGCCAGAGACGTGGCTCTCCCCTTTTCATCTCTTTCCTTTGAAATTTGTTAAATTGATTAGAAGCTTTTGAATGCAATGTCAACATGTTGGATTTTGTTTCATCATCCAACGACCAAGTCACTGAAAAATGTAAATCTGAAATAATGGAACTAGCTAATCGTTTGGTTTGTACAAATCACGAAATTATTTTGATTAAATCAACCAATCAATTTAAAACAGCTCGAAACACGAAATGTAAATGTTCTCGATTTTTTTTTTTTTTTTTTTTTTCAATACTTGGTTCAAGTATTTACCCAAGATCCAACGTGAAAACTTTTCCGATTCGAGAATGGTCGAACATCGCGAAGGAATTCCTTTGTGGAAGAGCGAGGATCGAAAATGTGATCAGCCCTGAAATTCTTCAACTTTCTCAAACTTCAAAAGGAATCTGACTTGCAATTTTCAACGAACTTCCTCTCTTACTGCTCTCCACGGTTCCAAACATCTTCGTCTCGGTGAAAAATTAAACGAAACTGCAACTCGTTGTCGAGAAATATACGTTTTCATCGAAAAGAAAAAAGATTCGAACTTATCCAACGACAGAAAAAAAAACCCAGCTATCCGCGTTTTTAGATTCGTTGTATCGGAGATAATTGCCATCTTCGCGGGCGCATGGATCGAAGGTCGAACGATAAAATGTTATGTGCCACGCGACGTCGGCATAAAAGATAAAAATCGTTTGGCAGAACGTCGCGGAAACACGAAAACTGTGTTTTCTACTACGACGACAGAGTAAAATAGAGTCCCTGGCTGATCAGTCGGATATTTCTCAAGTAAAAGAATGGTAAAATTCGAGAGGTCGAGAGGAAACAATAAATCGGATCATTTGAGTATTAACAAGTGACAAAAGAATCGTCGAATACGGATTCTTGTGAAAATTGTGTCTTTACGAGCTTAGTACTTCAAAAATTGGACTCACGCTGAACTTTGTGCTTCATTCTGATAAAATAAATTTCGAATTTAGAACGTTGTACGAAGTGAGAATTGCAAGTAGATTATGAACTCTCGTGGGAATCGTGCCTTCGTGAACTTGATATTTCAATAATTGGACTCGCAACTAAACACTTTGCGCTTCGTTAATAAAATTTCGAAATTTCTAAATAAATTTCCAATTTAGAATACCGTACGACATAATAATTTCGTGTAATTATTAAACTTTAAGCATTTTACACATTTCACACGCGTCATAAATTTTTACAAACAAAATAAAAGAAAAATGTAGGGGATGTCGCGTTTTATGTCTTAATTTCAGAACGCTCGCATCGTTCTCAATAAATCTCCGACCAGGCAAAGACCCAAGTAGAGAAAGAAATTTCCCGACGCGAAGATCATCGCGCTGAAGCTTCGAGTTTTGTCTAGCGAGATCTCGGACAACCGAGGCGTCTTAATAAATTCCGAAAGATCTCTTTTTAAACCAGATGGAATCCAGAGGAGGCTACCACGAATCGCGATACACAACTGTAACTTTTCACTTGCACGGGAAAAAGCAATTTTAATCCCTTTCTAACCCCTTTGTCGACCCTCTCTCGCCGGTTTCTTCGTCTTAATCGTCTTTATTTCAAGCCGGGAAACTACGATATGAAACTGTTTCAAAAGCACGAGAAGAAAGACGATGGACGCTCGATGCTTGCCTCAAAGAGGTTCGAATTAACCTGCGGAGTTAAGCAAGATTTAAGATATTTCCTTCGGCGAAACTCTGACGTTTCTTAATAATTTCGTTCGATTTTGTCAGATCAGTTTGAACAACTGATGTCTTTCTCACACTATATACGTTCCATCATGTAGTTGGCATAATTGAGAGAGGACCGTGCGATCTTCATGCGAATTAAAACAGAATACTTGTTTTCCTTTTTTAATCGAAAAAAAGTTAAATTTTCATCAATTTACTTGAGAAGCTAGGTATTCGGCAATATCTTTCAATATTTTGTGATCACTGAAAGAAATCTTGACAAGACTATTTTTTGAATATTTTTACGTGTATATTACGTGTACTGTGTACGTTTTTTTGAAATTTCTCGCAAATGCATCGCGTCGAGTTTCCAAACCAAAGGCTGAAACGGAGAACACTGTCAATTGGATATATGTTGGAAAGAACAGATAAGAAACAGATAATATGGTTTTCCAAATACAACAAGATTAGGCCTGGTAATAACAATAAAGAGCAGACAAGAGACGTTAAATCCCGGGCATAAAAAAAAAAAAAAAAAAAAAAAAAAAAAAAAACAGAAAACCCGAGCTAACCCATTCGCCAGACACAGCGTCTATCATCATTCATCTCGGTCTTCACAAAACTTCCACTTCCATGGCGAAAAATTGAATAGTCCGCGAGGAGACTGGCGGCCTCGATTGTTTCAAAGGGCTCATTGTCGAGAAGGGGAGGCTTTTCGGGAAAGATGGTTCAAGCCAGAAACGACCAAGAAATAACGACGAAATAATATAAATTTATTTCACGAACAACCGACGATCTTACCAACACCGGCAACGTTTACCAGAGTCGACAAATTGACTTGTACAAATTGCTCCGTACGAGCCACGTTGGAATTCCAACGACGCGATCGCGGAAGTGCAAACGCGCCGAACAAGAGAGGAGACAAAAAGCGACAAGCGAAAGAGACGATCCCGACGGTTGGAAGTTTCCAACTTGGTCGACCAGAAGTGGTTCGATATTCTCCTCGATCCCTTTAAAACTCGAACGAACCACCAAATTGCCAGAAAAGTTTCAGGCAAAGAGGGCCGCCGGCCAGACTGCGTGGCAAACGTACCGCGAGAGATCGTCGCCTGTAATCGAACAGCAATTTCGCCGGCGCGATAACAGCTCGGCTGGATTCATGGCGCCTTGCGAACTACGTCGCGATGTAGGATAAAAATCGCGCGAAATTCAGTCGAGGCGCGTCGTTAACCGATAATTATGCACAACCGTGGGAGGAGGGGGGAGGCGGCTAACACGTTGCGGTTAAAGGTATAATTTCACGACGTGCCCTGTATGTCGGCACGTATATCGAGAACAACAACAGGAGAAATGGTCGTAACTGGTCGGACACGCGACATTCTCTCTACGTACACGAACGTGAATAAGATATCACTTTATGGCATTTTAGCATTTGTCGACGTGTTCGGCAAACCTCGTGAAGATCGTGCAAGACGATTCTGAACTCTGTGTAAGCGGATCCGGATTGAAAAGTCACTTGGGAACGAAAGTTTCTTTGGGTTAGGGGGGGGGGCTAGATTTTTAGCGATTTCGTCGAATACAGGACATCTCTATCTTTCAGGATGTATTTTACGGAATTCTGAAGAGCAAAATCTATGAAATAGAAATCTGTTTTTTGAATGTACGTTTTTTTCTATTCTGGTTTCACAAATATTACTTTACACGAAAATTCGGAATTAATCTGAACTGTAATATTGGTTGAGAGAAATAAATTTTTCACGAAAAGTTTTCTTCATTACTCCACTGTTTATCAACGAAAATACCGCTGTTTCTTTATGCTTTAATTAATAGTCTATAAGCTTGTGTCTAATAAAATTGTTTTAATATTAAAAGCTCTGATCTCAATTGTAACATTATTCTTCAGAGAAGTAAATGGATTGAAATTTCAAAGACAAAGAACTACAATTTGATTTATAATATCGAAAATATGAGCAAAAAGATAAAGTTAAAAATGACATTTCAGGATATCTCGAAGCAAGATATCATGTACTACGTTACTTTTAATTAATTGCGACTTTCCTTTTTTAAAAACACTCAAAAGGAAATAGAAAAATCGAGTTAATCGCAATATTTCATAAACAAACGAAAATCCACTTGGGAAGAGTTAAAAAAAAAAAAAAAAAACGAAACGACTTTTCGAACTCGACCAGGATGAAATTGCGACAAACGTTGCGACAGTCCTTCCCCTCCGCCAGAGCAATTTCGAGAACTCTTAAAATTTTGTTGCGCCCCCTACCGAACGAGTCGTAAAATTTCAAATAGTAGATCACACGGTGTTGGGAGATCTCCCCGTCGCAATGCTCGGCGACGTAAAAATTTTATCTCGCCCCGGCTACGTCTATTAAAAGAGTCATAAACTGGAGAACTCGCTGGTCCATCAGCAGCAACTTGCTGCAATCTCGGCTCTCTTTGAAATTTTATCTCCCCTCAACCGATTCTCTGTCAAGATTCTCGCCATCAAGATTCAAAATTTTCAAGCTGCAATCGAGCTTTCTACGACAAGCGTGGAGTCTCGGGCTGCTTCTCACGCGAAAGCTTCCCAGAGCGGAAAACAACGATACACTTCGCAACGAGCTGGAGGCACGGCAGACACGGAGGACGGAAGGATTGAAGGAAAATTTCGTTAGATCTTCTCCCTGTGAAGCTCTAAAATCTTAACGCGATGTTGTTTAGACCGTCTAGCGGGATTTTATATTTGACCGGCATTCGAAACACTCGGCTAGCGTATGTATTTCGTAAAGAGAGATAAAACACGTGTGTACGTAACACTGGAATTACCGAAATTACCAAATTCTTCGTGATTCTTCGCTTAAATCGTTACTTTTAGAAATTCGGTTGTAAAAACTTTTCAGAAATTTGTAAATAAAAACTTCTTCCCACTGCTCGTTCTCTCTCTCTCTCTCTCTCGTTTCTCTGACGCACGTTTCGTGTGCTTTGGTCGTTGGTAATTCCAGCGTTAAAGAAGTAGAAGAAAAAGAAAAAAGAAAACAAAAAAAGAAAAAAAAAAGGAAGGGAAAAGAATAAAGACGTGAACACGAGCAGAGATTTTTTGGCTCTCGCGGTCATGGCCGAAAGCCGATACGAGGAGAGAAAAGAAAAGAAAGAAAAAAAAAAAAGGTAAAAACTGAGAGGAGATGACAACGAAAAGGAAAAGGAAAAGAACTTCTTCAACGTTTACCAAGTGCACCTAAGAATTCAAATTCGCCCCGTCCCATCCGACAATAACAATAAATAATAAATTCTGCGTATATTCATCTATATTGCAATATAATCATAGTATAATATATGTATACGTGTACCGCGTGTATATGTGTGTGTGTGTGTACGTATGTACGTTTCATGTTCGTGTCCCCCGTGTAACAATATAACCGCGTGTTGGCGTTGTAATATATAAACAGTGAACAACACATATATAAAATCATTAAAACGATAAAACAAAATAGAATAAATTATCCAATATATTAATTGATATACTTAATCATCTGCGTAATATATTAATATTCTGGTTATCATACATACATACATATATATATGTATATATATAATTATATTATTAAATTTTATATATATATATATATATATATATATATATTTATGTGTATATATTTATATGCGTAATCGGGTGGTAGCCTTAACTATGCAAAGTGCCCCTTTTTGCAAAAGAGAGAAGATCGACGGGTAATATCATTTGATCACAATGTAGCGGTTTGGCTCTTTGAATAGCTAGCGGACTCGACGTACCGACCAACCAACGTCGGCGCGTTACTCCGACTGCGAATTATACGAATTCCTAAGCTTCGAAACACGCGTACCTCACGTACGCGTTTGTTATGTTTGTCCATTCGTTCGTTTGTCCGAGTCGGTTGTAAACGGTTAACCCGGTTCGTCCGCGCGAAATACAAATCCGAAAAGCGTGTACGCGCGGATGGTGTCGCGCGTGCTCACGCCTGGATCGTTCGCGGCTGGACACACACAGCTCTACTACGTCATACATAATTTCTCTCCGTCTTACTTCCTTTTTCCTACCATTTCTTTTTCTTTTTTTTTTTTTTTTTTCTTTCTCGGGAAAAAAAAATGACCCCTATATCGTTAAATATAATAATGTTATAACGTGTAAGGAAGTAAATATGTATATAGATATATTATGTGTATAAATGTGTATATAAATTTCCTCGCGTAAAAACAAACAAAGAAGAAAGGTAGAACAAACAGATTGCACCCCAACCAATTTAAATATCAACATGTGTAACGACGTAGCGGTGAAAATATTTCAGTAAACCAGCCCTCTTGAATAAAAATTGACACCGTTATTTTAAAAACAGCATTAAACACTATATGTATATATATATATAATTATGTATATGTCGTCGCTGGCCGATTGACGGGGATTTTCAATCGCGCCGAACAACCGGCCGACCAACCATTAACGTAATGACGTTTATAACGTATAATATTAATAATATAGCAATAGTACTAGAAATCAATCCGATTACAAGATAAGATCCTCACTATGCGTTCGCCTATGCGCTTAAGTTTCCGAATTCTCGTGGAATGTCTCGGGTTCGATCTTTCCACAAATTATTTTTCACATTATCTGCTGCGATTATCGTATCTGCGGAGGTGTGCAGTTTTTTTTAAATCGTAAATATTATAGACTTTTTTGTTTTTTAGGTGTTCCAAGTAACAAACAACGCGTTTTATAGTTCAGAGCTCATATTAGAGCTGCAAAGCGCCACTTATTCTTGCCTATTTCCTTTCTTTCCTTTGCTTTTCTCTTTCTTTCTGTTCTCTTATTTCGTCCTTCTTATCGCTATCAAAAGAAAAGAAAAAAAAAGGAAAAAGAAAAGAAAAAATAGAGCACTAAAGACGATGCATAAGACTAAAAGATTTCGTTGTTAGTCGATTAATATTGCGTGTCACCGTATTTCCGGCAAATCGCCGGAAGTATACAAAAAGGTGTCGTGTGACTGCGTGTTCCGTGTTTCTGTCCCTGTGTACCTATGTAACACGCGTACAATGTGCGTGTATGTTACGTGTGAGTGCAAGATTCGTATGTATATGGTGTATCAAACGGCTGCCTCTCTCGTCGTATATACATACCTCGCGTAGGTCCATATATTCTGATTCTGTCGTGACTGTGTAGATGTGTATCCATGTGTCAAATCCTCCCCGAGAATCCCCCTCCCCCAAACCCGTAAATCCTATACGACGGTGTTGAAAGCCAGCGCGTGCTACGTGATACATTTGCCAACGATTCCCGTTGAAACGCCGATGAAACACACGATTACACTCTAATATGAAGTCCAACTATAAACTCTTCAACAATTGTACGACTCACCCTGCTTATCGAATGAATTATACTTCCAGCAAGTCCACATTAATAATTAATTAATTAATCGATTAATCGTAATTCCGTTTCTTTTTTTTTTTTTTCTTCTTCTTTTGGCTGTCGAACGGCGGGCATCGGCCGCTAGGCAGCATGCAACTACGGGAGGAATTGGCACCACGTTTGCTCCCCGTTTGCTATATATATATAATATGTTATTCCATTAAATCTCCCATTATTAATATTTATAATATAATATAATATATATATATATATGTATATATATAGCAATAATACGCGAATCGTAAACTCACCCGAGCTAACACTCCTCTCTTTAGTATTTATATATATATATCGTCGATCGGCGCAGCGCTCGTTTACCACAAAAAAAATAAAGCTGCCCGGTCTTTGGACAATGTTTTCGAAACGCGTCGTTTCGAAAAACGGCGGCCGGCGTCGCGCGAGTTGGCGCGTGCGCGCGCGCGTTCCTCCACCGATCGGCCCCGAGCGATAACGCGAGCGTAAAAAAGCCGAGATATACAAATATAAGCGACCCGCGCTAACCACGATTCGTCTCAGGCTCCTGTCTTTCGTCACTCTCTCGTTTCCTCTTCTCCCCCGATACGTTTTCTCTTTCACTCTCTCACTCTCTCACTCTCTCTCTCTCTCTCTCTCTCTCTCTCTCCCTCGTCCCCCGATGCGTCGATCGTCAATGAAAAAACAACAACAAACAACAAACGGCAAACAACTCTCGCCAGCAACTCGAGAAGGAACTTTTCGTTCGTCGCACCGCGTGCGAAAAAGACCGCGCCGGAGCCACGCCGAAGACAAATCGAACGTAAAAAGTCGGCCCGTCGAAGAAGAAAGTTTTTCCCGCGGTAGCGACGGCAGTGTGTCACGCGCATGCGTGTACGCTACCCACCCGGTCGGCCGATCGTTCTACCGCGCGTGCGCACAAATCCATTGCAACGCGCGCGCACGCGCACGCGCATCTCGCCTCGCTCGCTCGCTCGCTCGCTCGCTTTTTTCCTCACACCTGAACTCGTCTCGTTCTTTTTTTTTTCCCTTTCTTTTTTTCTTTTTTCAACTAACACGACAAATGTCCACCCCGAAAGACAAATCGCAGAAAAACGAAACAACGCCCACCCTTTGTCCCCGTTATCGCGCGATAAGGAGAATCTCATCGTCGATTTCTTAAGCGTAGAGAACCTATAAAAGATTTGGTGTTCGAAAAACAGAAAAAAGCCGAGAGAGACCGGCCTTTTGCGCGGCCGTGACACCAGGGACGTACTCATTATTGCGACAATAATTGCCACCCCCCCCCTCCCCCCTCTCCTTTCACCCTGTCGGCGCAGCCACTCGCGTTCTCTGTATAACGCATCATCATCATCATCTTTTTCCCTGTTCTTATATATATATACGTATGTATACACGTATATGTGTACAAAGTATCTCTTATATACATATACGCATATACATGCTAAATTATTATTTATTTATATATTATTCATTGTTACTTTTTTCCTGGTTTCCTTACTTTCGGGGCGCGTAAATATGTACGTGTAAAGTAAATATTTATATATATATATAGATATAGATATATACACATGCACACGTAGACACGCGTCTACACGCATGTATGTGTATATACGTATAAGATATATACAGACGCGTGCAACGGTCCATCCCGCGTTTTAGGACAGCGTGTTCATGGTATCGTTACTCATCGCGGAGAGCGCCAACGTGCCTGTCACGAAATCGTTTAGATCGATCTTTCTTGCCTCGGGGTGTTTGAATTTAAAGTGCGTGCGCAGGTTGTCGCTACGTGTGTACGTGGCACGACAGAGAGGACACTCAAACCTGCCGGGGAAGTGGACGTGGTAGTGGTTCCTGATGTGCGTCACGACCTTGCCGCACAGCTTGCACCTGTGAAGGTTGCAGCCGCCTGGCACCCGGTCAAAGGTCAGCCGCATGTGCCAGGCTTTTGAACCTGCAACATCAACACAAGACAAGTCACTTTCAACTGTTGGACACCCAACGCGACCTACGCGACGACGAGCCGCCCGCGGCCCAGTCTGTGTCGACGGCGGCTCTCGATCGCTTCTTTCTCTCTTTCTTTCTCTCTCTCTCTCTCTCTCTCTTTTTCTTTCCTCATGTATACACTTTCTCTCTCTCTCTCTCTCTCGTACTTTCAGTTGCTCTCCCATTTTTTGCTTTCCTCTCTCTCCGAATTCACATTTTCCTTCCTTCACTGATTCCTCCACTTTCGCTCCTCTCTCTCTCTCTCTCTCTCTCTCTATTCCTTCATCCCTCACATTTCGCAGCCTCTTCTTTTACATATTTTTTTTTTAACCTCCCCGCTAATTTTCCCCTCGTTTACCCTCCTACTTACGAATCAAGGCCGTGTGATCATGCGACCGTGCCACACGTATACTCTACGCTTCTTTCTCTCTCTCTCTCTCTCTCTCTCTCTCTCTCTCTCTCTCTCTCTCTCTCTCTCTCTCTCTCACTCTTTCTCTCTTCTGTTCTGGCTATGTGTGTGTGAGTGTGTGTGAGTGTCGAGAGGAAGAGGATTTTCGAGCCGGACACCCGACCACCGCTTTCGGCTCAGACGGACCGACACCGCTCTCGTATGGATTTTATCCGACGAGTCGATGACTCGCGTCGGTGCCAGCGATGCCTGTCGAGACTTCTCGCGAAAATTTCAAAGTAGAGACCAGACCATGCGTTTGGTGTTGCGTAATTGTTCGCACTTGATCTCTTTTTTTTTTTTTAACGAAAATTTGTACTGTAATTTTGTAAAACAAACCCGTTTGTTTCATGTTTATAATCATTTATCGATAATGCTTCAACTAGAACTTTATTACAGGTCAACTTCAATCATTTCTATCAATAGGTATTTTCACTTTTCGGATTGCTCCGTACTATGTCTTTAGAGATATTAAACGTTAATTAGCCATCAATTTTATAAACTTGTTAATAAAACTTGTTAATAAAACTTGTTTTTTTATTTCATTTCTGTTTATCGACGACTAACCCTAAGACTAACTTTGATAACAAACATTTCTATATGCTCAATGAATATTTTTATTGTATCAGTCATTTTTATTTTATCCTCTCAATATCATCAATCATTGATTAATGTCTAATTTAAATTTTAACTCGTTCAGAAGTTTGGTTCAACCGAAATTGGTAAAGTCAATTTCTCCGTACAATTTTCATAAGTTTTATCTTCTCGATGTTTGAAAATATTAAAGAAGAGCATTTTTCATATTCCAATTTTCTTCCAATTGCCCTGCAGCGTTGCCCCAAGGCTAGCTAATAATTAAACTGCGGGTCTTTTTCCTATTTCTGAAGACTCGATTTTATTAAAAAAAATAAAAGCACGGTTGTGCTAAATTATTCTACCTAACAAATACCACAGAAAATACTATACTTTCGATATCTTGTACATTTTTTCATAAAAAAATCCACAGTCCAATAATAATTTCACAATCGATTAGCATTCAGAAACAGTCAGTCGAGTCAACTGCTTTATCTCGAAAAAAAAAAAGAAAAGGGAGAATAAAAAAAGTCGCAACTGAAAAGAAAAAGAAGAAAAAGAACGGAGAATTTTCGTAAACGAGAGAAAGTAGAAAATTTCGTAGAGATGACCAATATAGAAATAAATAAAAAATAAAAATAATAATAATAAGGCCACTCTCCACGGAACGAACATCGCAAACGCGATCGCGATTAAATAAAGTGGAGCGAGACTTCCTGACGACGTGACGGCGGCGAACGCAAGGCACGCGATTCCGCGTTTTAAGAAGTGATACACGGCGAGCCATAGATCGTCAGATCTACCAGCGGACTCGTTGAATGGGTCTCGATAGTTACTCGCGAGTTACGACGCATCGCGGTGTCTGCAGAAAGAAGAAAACTGGAGCACGGCTGATATAACCAACGAAACTTATGATCCGCCCCGGTGATACGGAAATGTGTAAATAGAGTTGTAGGAGTTGTCGGTGTGGTGTGACGAGGCACGGCATTCTCCGGGACTCTCCGTTGAAAACGGTCCAAATGGCACCGCTCGCCATCATGAATAATGCAGCTCGCGCAGGCAGAGTGTGCACCGAGATGTCTCGTAAGTAGAATTCGGAGGTTCTTCTTCGGCGAAACAGCAGCCGAGCTCCATCCGGCCAAACACGGGTCAAATTGTCCTCGATTGAACCAACGACCAAGCAACGACACCCAACGATACTCGTTCCTCTCGTTGTTTCTGGCATGGGGCAATTAAATTGTATCTCTCTTCAACACGCGGTGCAGTTCGTTGCCTCGCGCGCGTATTTCATCGCGAGGTTGAGACAGATAATTCGAAGAGAGAAGTTGAAAGTGGGAATTGCGTAATGTAAGGTTTTCTTTGCTAGGATGAAGGAAGTAGTTCTTGCCTTGGCGATTGTCTGAATCGTACGTGTCGTTGTTAGCTCCTAATTATCGTTGAAATTGTAGGAATTTACGAGAGAGTTTTCAAGCATCTGTTAACTTCACGATACTTTTGTCCTTTTGTTGTTCCTCTCTTTTCAGATTGAGATCCCCTCGCTGAGAAGTTTATTTCGTCCATCCAAGTAATTTGCTTCTTAATATTTTTAAGAGTTGAATGTCTTTTTAAATTACTTGCAAATACCGGAGTAATTGGAGAACAGCGCGTATCGTTGCAATTTTGTATCTTTTTGGCAATTTGAAGATCAGATACCTAGTGTCACATATTCGAAACATGACGAGATTTTCTCCGATTCACGTGTTCAAATACCATATTTGAATTACGTGTATAATATTTCTTTAAAAAACGAAAGGGAATGACAATCTTTTGGATTTCTTTCCGGACGATAATTCGTAAATGTTCGAGTAATTATAGGAGTGTTGTATTCTTTGGCAATTAAAGAAAGAAAAAAAAATAGTGACATTTTTTTTTAAACGTGAAGTTTCTTCCAAAAAAAAAAAAAAACACGGAAGAGAATCAGCGAGCTTTGGGATCTGCTGGTCGTAAAAATTAAATTAAACGTGATTTGCACTTGGCTCGAATCGGCGAGGCAACAGCGAGCACTCGAGCTGTTCACCGTGACGGCCGAGGCTTGTTTTGGTTCGCCATTTCGAGTTACAGGATCGAAGTACAACGGTAGAAATATGTATCGTGTTTCCATGGGACTCGAGATGCGTTTCTGGTCCCATGACAGTGGCACCGACGATGACGTTCAGAGATACGGGATAATTGAACGACGAATGTGCGAAAAGTAGATTTCGGAGATAGAGCGCGCGTTTCACCTGTACCGATCACCCAAATATGATAATTTATCACTCTACTTTCATCGATTTTTATTAAACAGGCATCATTAAGGAGACATCGCCGATATGAAAGAAACGCCCGGGCTATCAATTTTTCATCCTTTGTTAATCATGAAAATCTTGCTCGTTGATCTTTGTAATTTGAAAAGAAAATTCTATAAATACTGCATATTACGAATCTTTCTCGACTATTACTGCGAACAAATGCGAAATCTCTGTGGAATATCCTGTAATTTCCACGTATATCTTTAAATTTGTTTCCAACTTTCGATATTAAAATGTAATATTAGCAAATAGTTTGTACACCACCACGCGATACATTCAGGAAAAGTTCCAACAAGTATTCGAGCACGATATTTACGCAAGTATATTTTAAACATTCGATTCGTACAAGTATATTTCAATGTTGTTCTATTAAATGTGGAAAATACGGAATTTTCTATATTTCTATAGTTCGGAATTAAATAATTATCGGAAAATCCTATTAAATACGGAACGTCTTCTCTTCTTCCTATTGTCATATTGCTTAGTATTCAAGTATGAAGTTCTCAGCTAATTGAACAAAATAAGCAGAGAATTGCTATAATTGAATTTCATACAGGTACCCCTATAACGGCACTATCTATCTTCGTAGGAATTTGAAAAAAATGTAAATCATCCTACTTTTGTATGTATGGCTTCGTTTCATTCGAATCGACGTCGAATGCGGGTACAATAATGAAAATACACTTTAACCTTCTTTCACCTATTTCCTTACATACACACATACGATGATAAATCCTTTTTAAATCTAGAACAAGTCATATCAATAAAGAGCACCGATGAAAAAATACATGACGATCCAAATTTCCTCCTGCCTTCAAACTACCTTCGAGAATATTTCGATCGGCAGATATATTCAATTTCGATTTTTTTTAACGCCGGAACGTTCGAATTCGTTTCGTGTGCCAGCAGTGTTCCATATCGATAACCATCGATACCGTTCATGCGTGTCAACCTTGAGGCACGGTTCCTTCGACCTTGGCGCGTGCGAGCGCGACGACGACGACGACGACGACGACGACGATGGCGATGTAAACGAATTCCTTTCCGTTCTTCGATCTTCGATCTAATTTTAATGTCGTTTCTCGTCATTAGTCGCTTTGAGAGGCCTTCGAAGTTCTGGTCTAGCTCGACGCAGCCACTCTCAGGCTGGCTAATAAATTGAGTTTGTTCCTCCGTTGTTGAGGAAGGATGCAGAGACTTCCACGACTGCAATGCGGCTCCCTGCGTGCAGCATGCACGATAACTTTTTCCCCGCTGTTGTGTACCGGGTTTCATTCAACCCCCCTCGGGTGACTTTATTCTCGTTTATTGCGTTTATTGCGTCCAGCCATCCCGTTATCTTCCGTGGCGTATTGCGTTGGCGGTTTTTCAAGTTTTCAGATTTATTGGAATATCGGATTAAGTAACAGTACACGTGGTAGTAAGACACGAAAGTAATTTATAGACAGCGTTACCATTGGAAATCCTACTTTTTAATCGTTCGATCGTTCAATTCATTCGGATCGAAAGAAAAATAATTTGAACTTGTTTAAAAAGGTCCATTTCGTACAGCACTATCGAATAACGATGAATTATGCCAATTAACTGTACTTAATTAATTTTAATCGACGCCTGTCGATAGATACTCCAACAATGTACACAGATATAATTGTATTGATCGCAATTCTAACGCTATTCTATAATAATAGAATATAATAACTCTATCGATATAACGAATCGTTCCAAAAATTAATTCGATGCCTAAAATACGAGTTTACTATTACCTACGAATTTAATTACACGTGATGCATTCCAATTCACCGTCAATCTCTGTCTATTTATGTGCATCGCACATCATACGATATATTATATATATTACATGGAATTGGACGACTTCGCAACGGCAACGTTGTAATTTGTTTACACGGTTACCAGCAACAGGTTAAACGAAAAACTAAAAGGGAGAACGGTTTACGAGGTCATGGAGGGCAGCGTTTATGGAAGAAAGCATTTTTAGACTCTCATTACCGAGGGGTGGCTGGCAGCCCCTTCTCGTTACAGCTATCAACACGCGACCATTTTCACCCTATTCGATTTCACGGCACCTTTAGAAGATGCCTACTGATCCCTAAACCCTACCCTTCGTCCCTTCTAGCTTCAAAGATAGTAAAAAAAGTAAATAAATAAATTAATTAATTAATTAATTAATTAATATAGGTTAAACGAGCAAGGTGTACATCGAATATTACATTATATTATATATTTAAACATTAAAAATAACATTGTTAATTCTAAAATTAAAAACTTATTGTAAAAATTAATAATATTGTTTTCTAAAATTAAAAACTCTCTGCGTGAAGACGATTTTTTCACTAATAACGTAATATTTAATTTCAGTAATATTATAAATGTCGTGATATAATGCAATGTGTATCAATTTAATTTTTAATTAATATTAATAAATATTTAATTTAACAACCAATAATATAATGTTCGTCAATATTAATATGAACTGAGAAGCAACAATCAAAAAGTTGCAGGTTTCATTCTACGTGTAGTAGAGACACTGAAGTGACAAGATTTTACATACTTGATAGATTGACATGTTACATACTGCAACCTGACCAACAATGAGAACGAAAGCGACTTGGATCAAGGGATTAGTTCACTTAGAGTACGTTTTTTTTTTTTTTAAAAAGACACAAATGTTAAAATGATACATTCCATTTCTAAATATACAATCCGCACAGTTTCAATATTCTAAAGTGTCAATGTCAAATAAAATAAGATATAAGACATATTCCTACGTCTCAAGTTCAATAACATTTTTTTTTTTTTTTTCTCCATTTACTCTACTCCGAAAACTTCTCTTTGTCTGCAATAACTAGCTTTTCAACGACAAATAGTCACCGTCGGTTACGCAATTGGGCATTCGTTGGAAAACAACGACGCAACAGAAGCAAGGAGGAAGTAAGGAAGCAGGCGAGAGAGTCAGGTTCGTCGTAGAATGGGAAATATGCTCACGGCAGCGTGTAGCTGCGGCTTCCTTTCGCACATCCTTCTCATCCGGGACCGATGTTCCCCTTGCGTAACGATCGTACGCGAACTAACGGAAACCGTTTGTCCGGTCCACGTCGAACTTACTTTCGATCGTTTGATCGCCGTCCAGCGGGACC